AACCCGCGACCCTCAGATTGTGAGTCGAGCGCCTTATCCACCTGGCCATGCCAGGCACTCTATACGGGGTCGCTATTTTTCGGTTTTGGCAGGGTTTTTACGGCCGGATGCCCTTCCTGACGCCAACCATCCCCTAATTTAGCAGTGTAAGACTAGAGGGAAGGCAGCTAGTCATCACCACCCACCGCCAACTCTTGGGCTACTCTTCTACCAACGAATAGTGGGATTGACTGTCACATTATAACGCCCCCACGCCTAAAAGGGGCGAGCATGTTTGGTGGGATGAGGGCGCGAACCCGCAGATTGCGAGTCGAGCGTCCTATTTGTTGGTCAAGCTTGATTTCATAAAATTATGTTATTTCAGTTAGCTATGAAATGTGAGGTTAGGGTATACTATGGGATAGGGTAGTAGTACTTGCTCCGTCATTTTTGACGCGCTATAGCTAGTCTCTGTATATTATCACCATTCAACGATTTTGTCTAAGCCTTTTTTTTTTCATTTCACACGGTTTATACTGCCTGACGAAGGGCTTCTGCCCGAAAAGTTGAAAGTAATAATAATAATATAAAAAAGTTTTTGTTATAAACATGTGTTTTAACATTTTTTCATTACATTTTTTACAGACCCAGATTGTTGAACAGGAAAGTCGAGAGCCAGCACGGGCCCCGGGGCAGACATCCTCGCCGGACCCCCTTTCTCTCTCCCTTTTTTAACATTTTCAAGAATTTATTAAAAAGAAGATCCTAAATTAGGACAGCAACAAGCTCATAAACCAGACAAAATCATAGCAGCAGCCATTTTTCTCTCACAGTATAATACACAAGGGCTATATGTGCTCTTCCCACCACGGGTATCAAAACTCGGTTTCTAGCGTTGTAAGTCCGCAGACATGCCGCTGTGCCACTGGGGGGCTATTAAATCTATAAAGTAACAAATACATGTTAATTATTACTAAAATTATTATTTCAGTCGTTCTTAATGTATCAAGCGTCTATATGCAAAGAAAAGACAAAAACTATGGTTTTTAATCATTAAGATGCTTTACGGCATAACCAGGTTTCATTCGCCCGGGCCATTTACCAGCTGCCCCCCCCCCCCTGTCGGCGGGCCTGCTGTAGAACCTGAGATACCCAACTTGCAGCAAGAACTCAGTATGACCACCAGTTTACATACCGAATGGTAATGGTATTTATTTTCCGATAATGACCTTTAGTTAACAACACCATTAGATGTCAGCGTCGTCTTTACAGAATCCTTTCTGAAAAAGGTTTCGTCTACATGTTTTCACCAGTTTCAGCAACAGTTCGACCACATTGTTGTTTAA